CTAATGGCTCGGCTCCCAAGGATGGGAACCTCCCTTATTCAAACACTAGCAGCAGCCACAGCCATCCAGCCTGGAGGGGCAGAGCTGAGGACCCTAGAGGGGCAATGATGGATGGGACAGATCTGTCATCTCAGCCCATGTCCATGGCTCTTTGCCTGTGATTCACCTTTCCACCCCAGTGCAGGATCTTGAATGCAGAAGGCACCCAGTGAGGATTGTGGATCGAATAAATCCAAGAAAATTCATGACAGTGCATCCCAACCTTGTGTTATAGTACAGAGAGGATTGGTCAGAAACTCAGAAAGATCTAGGTTACATTCTTGCTTCTGATGCTTTCTGCATGATCATGGATAGGTGACTTTACCACTCAGAGCCTCACCTCTAAATCGGGGATAATCTTATCTATGAGAAGCAGTGTGGCCAGTCTCAGGAGTTAGGAAGACCTGGATTGATGGCCCAACTGTGTGACCCTGAGTAGGTAACTTACCTTCTCCCTTCCTCCAGACAACTCTCTAAGCTTAGAGGTTGCACTAATGGAACCAAAAAGCAACAATCCCTGCAGGACCCTCTCATCAGACTGTTGAAAGGTGGGGGAGAAGAGAGAGACAGAAAAAGAGGGGGAGGGAGAGGGGGAGAGGAGGGAAGGAGAGAGACAGAGATTAAGAGAGAGAGAAGGAAAGGGAGAGAGAGGAGAGAGAGACAGAGAGAGGAGAGAGGGGAGAGACAGAGACAGAGAGACAGAGAGAGACAGAGAGAGAAAGAGGAGAGAGGAGAGAGAGGAATGGAGAGGGGGGAGAGGAAGAGAAAGAGAGAGAGAGAGAGAGAGAGAGAGAGAGAGGAGAGAGAGAGAGAGAGAAAGAGAGAGAGAGAGAGAGAGGAGAGAGAGAGAGAGAGAGAGAGAGAGAGAGAGAGAGAGAGAGAGAGAGAGAGAGAGAGAGAGAGAGAGAGAGAGAGAGAGAAATGAACATAGATCAGAGACTTGAGAAGAGATTTTGGTTTTCTAGGTTAGCCAGAGAAGTTGGATCTATTGGGAAACATAAGTGATGTCAAAACAAGAGATGTAAGTAAAATCTATGTATTTGAAAATGTATGGCACAAGCATCCCCTTGCAAACAAAGGGGTGTGGGCAAGATGGTGCCCAGGATCCCTCCCAGAACTCAAACCCTTGGTCAGATGACCCTTCCCTCTCCTCCCCATTCTATGCTCTGCTGGCCAACCCCAGGTCCCCACGGGGATACACCTCCCACAGCGGGCTCTGCTCATTGCTGGGAGTCAGCTGATCCTCAGTCAAACTCCCAGTGCATGAGGCTGAATCTCATCCCAGGTGCCCCAAGTATCTTGGTGATGGCTTACACCTGAAAAAGTGACTTCAAGGCGCTTTCCCTGGCAGCCCTCAGAGCCTCCATCCTCACCTACTTTCTGAGTACTTTGTAGGGTGGCCAGAGAGGCTACAGGGTCTTTCCTCCACTTTGCATCATTTCTTCAGTCCTTTCCCAATGTCTGTTTTTTTTCCTTAGCTCTTAATCGCATTCGCATTCAAGTCCCTTCCATGAATGAAGCTTGGCCTTAGAGCTAGACCCTCCCGAAGGGGTCTCCCCAGCGCTCATTCACCAGATGAAGGAATGAGGTTCAGAGAGTGAGAGTTACTCAGTCAGCCCTGGGCTCCTCACCGTTGATGAGTCAGCAGGTTCCATAACCTGACCGGAGGGGAGATGGCTGAAGGAAGTCTATAGCTTCCTCCTGGCTCAGCAAGGTGAGCTCCCCCTCCCTATCCCCTCCCCCATCCCATCACTGGAGAGAAGCAAACATCCAGGGTCAGGCATTCCTGAGCCCAAATACCCTCCTGAGGCTGGAGTGGGTCTGGGCAGGCCCACTGGATACCAGGACAGTTCAGTCCCCAGCACTCTCGGGGCTCCTCCCTGAAGAAGACTTTGGGGTGTGTGTATGTGTGTGTGTGTGTGTGTGTGTGTGTGTGTGTGTGTGTGTGTGTGTGTGTGAGCGCGCGCGTGCGCACGCGTCCTTAGTGTTTGAGAGTGATATCTGTATCTGTGTGTGTCTACATTTGAGTATGTGGGACTGGGCGTGTCTCTTGGGTAAGAGTTTCAGCGTCTATGAGGATGTTTGTGTATGTCTGCATTTACCCGTGTTCAAACGTGTGTGATTGTGTAACTGTGTACCGGCATGTGAGCATGGGCAAGTGTGTGTGTGTGTGTCCGGGGAGTTTCCTAAGGCACCAGAGGCCTCAAACATGAGCTCCCTGTCTGCCTTTTCGAGCCACTCCCAGTCTGCCTGCAGCCTGCTCTCCAAGCCAGTTTCAAGCTACTGACAGTCCAGCCAAATAGATGATATGGGGGTACTGATACAGGACACGTCATCTCCTGCCACCGCACCTTTGCTCAGACCATCCCCCAGGCCTGGCACATTACCTCCCTCCCCCATCCCACTGCCTTGTACGGTGGAGAGCTGGCTTCCCTCCTGGCTCCACTTTCAACATGAAGCCTTTCCTGAGGGCCAGCTGATCTGTTCTTCCCCACCCCCCAAGGTTCTCTTTCTGGTGTGTTCTACCTTGGGCTGTTCGTTTGCTTGTTTCATTTTTATTGGTATTAATTTAAGAAGAATCCTTTCATGGAGCCATGCTTTCATTGACTCAGGAGGTCTTTCCAGTGATGGAGGTAGCAGCCCATCTTTGCCTCCCCCAAATTCACCAGGCAAGGTCCATCCACCATGCTGGAGGCTGACTCACTTTCTCCAACATTGGGAGGGGACCAGGGGAGTGCTGTGGTGGCCAGCCACCAATCTGAGTACTATCCAATGATATCATGCTATAAAGCATTTATCACAGTTCCTGGCACATAGTAGGTGCTTAATAAATGCTGTTTCCTTCCTCTCTCTTTTCTTCCCTCCTCCCTCTCTCCCTCTCTCCCTCCATCCCTCCTTTCCTTCCTTCTTTCTTTTCTTCCTTCCTCCCTCCCTCCATTCCTTCCTCCATCCTTCCCTCTTTCCCTCCCTCCTTCCTCTATCCTTGCCCCTCTCACTCCCTCTCTATATTCCTCCTTTGCTTTGTTCCTTTCCTCTATTCTTCCCTATCTCCATCCCTCTACCCCTTCTTTCCTTCCTTCCTTTCTCTTTTCCCCCCTTTACTCCATCCTTCCTTCTCTCCCTACCTCCATCCCTTCACCCCTCTATCCCTCCTTTCCTTCCTCCTTCCCTCCCTTTATCCCTTCTTCACTTCCTTTCTTCAATTTCCTTATAGTTACTCCAAGGTAGGGGCACAGAATCAGAGAGTGAAAGATGCCTGACCTACCTCCTAAGACAAACCCAGAGCTAAGCTCCTTACAGGAAGGGACCAGGGGTGGAGGGGGTGTCCCTTTTTGGGCCTTCCCCTTTCAGGCCTCACTCCCTTGTCCAACAAAGAAATAAAAAGGTCTTCGGGGAAGACGGGAGGTGGCAGGAGGCTGAGGGGCCTCTGGTGGACCCTGGGCATGTTACGGGGCTTGCTTGGGGGGCAGGGCTGGGCAGTGGGGCCTGTCCAGCAGCAGGCTCCAAGGGTAGCTGGCCTCCTGCAGCCTGAGCTTTTGTGCCCATCGGACAGGGCTTGTTGAATCAGAAAGCAGCCCCATGCCAGGCGGGCTTGGGAACAGGATGAGTGACCAAACCGGCCTGGCCACATTGTTTCTGGCCTTTAAAAAGAATGCCATTCATTTTGCTGTGTGAGCCCAGATCTCAGACAGAGGGGGTGATGGGGTGGGGGGGGATTCCAGGCAGGGGAGGACTGGCTGGGTCACTCAGCTGCCTGCTTATCCCCATTGCACAGAAGAGGAAACTGAGGACCCATTCCTGGAAAGGCCCCAGGAGCCAGGGATCCCTCCCTCCCTCCCTCGTTCCTTTAGGCCTCCAATAAACCCTAATTGAGTTCCTACTGTGTATCCGATGCTTGCGTTCATTCCAAACTTTTTCCCCTTTCTCAGTTTTCAGTTTTTAAAGGGCTCAGAATGATCAGTTTCTACAGGAGGAGGAGGGGCCTCACACTTCATAGCTGGCTCTGGCATGTGCCGAGTGCTTAATGAATGCTGGTGGATTGGTTGATAGACACAGGGTCATGAGTCAGGAGACCTGGGTTCTAATCCTGCCCCATTTCTTTCGTGACCTTGGGAAAGTCACTTTCTGTCTATAAGCCTCAGTTTCTCCATCTCTACAATGGAAAGAATCATCCTTATTACCACTGCCTCCCCAGGCTGTTAAGAGGAAAGCATTTTGTAAACTTTGAGACAGGAACCTGGGCACTGTTGTCTGCTTGACCCCACCTCAGTGTTACCACCAGCGGATTAGCAGCTGGAGACAGAAGAAGCAGCTCCTGACCCCTGGGGTCCCGCAGGATTAGAAATGAGCTTCCCGACTCCTTTGTTGGGTGCTGAGGCACCCACCACCACCACGGGGAAGGGCGCACCTGAGCAGGTTACAAGGACTGGGCTCTCATTGGCCTGGCCGTTCCTCACAGAGAGCATATAGAAGGACTTATATGACCCACAAAGGCGCAGAAATTAGAGCCATGAAGGAAGCTGGGGATTGCCTATGGAATGGACCTGGGTTCAAATCCTGATCTGTCACTAACTCTCGGTGGTCTTTGGGACTCCATTTCCTCATCTGTAAAATGGGAGATTGGACTCGAATAAACTCTGAGAGACCCCATTTGGTGGGAGGGCCCAGGCTGGCCCTGTGCCTTTGCCCTCTCCCCATCCCTCCCCCTGCTTTTCTGTCCCTTTGGTATACTGTCTTCCCCACCAGAATGTAAGCTCTTTGAAGGCAGGATTGACTTTTTTGGGCTTGTATTTGTCCCAGAGCTAAGTAAGGCTCATTGTAAGCCTTACTCCATTCCATGTCTTAGCTCTGCACTTCCCTCCTGTAAGGTGTCAAGGCCACTGGGCTCTGAACCCAGCCAGTGCCTGATAAACATGGCGGGAGGGGCAGGAATTGAACCAAGGCAAACAGGTGGTCTTTGTTGAAAATCCTTTAATAACATACAGTATTCTGAGCTCTGTTAGTGTTCACTGCTTGCCAGGCTGGGCAGCCAGATTGGTGGGGGCTCTTGAATGTGGGACCACCATGTGTTCTGGTCGGGGGAGGAGAGGGTCACAAAAGGAGGGCATGGGGATCTCCCCAGTGGACCATTCCTACAGCCAGCCAAGGAGCAGCCAGCTCAGGGATCAGGCCACTCTCTCCAGGATCAAGCCTCCCCTTCTGCCTTCCACCTTGGGCTTTCAGGCTGGGTGGCGTGCTGCTCCATCTCGGCCACAGAGTTCCTCAGATGCTGGCCGTAGGTCCAAGGTTGAACTCGCCCCAACACATTTCCAAACCTTGTTTTCAAATATTCTTCTCTTTTCTTTCTGGTAGCTGAACTGATGAGAGAGAAGTGTCCAAGGACCACAGAGCCAGGGGCCCATTTCAGGAAGGAGAAGATGCCTCAGGCAGCTTGGGGCCAAGTTTCAGGAGGGGCAGGACAGGGGGCTGGTCAGGCTGCTCCTCCCTTCCTAAGTGTGGTTCATAATAATTTAAGTACTCTATAGACATTTAAATGATATACAATAATATAACTTAATTGGGTTCCTTAAGAAAGGCCACTCTAAGGTATTTACAATCGCTAGTAGCCTGTGCCTTCCTGGAGCTGGGCAGCTTTGCCCTTTTCCCCCAAAAGAACAAGCTGAAAGGACATCATATCATAGTGTACATGGACCCCCACCTGAGAATCCAAAGGACAATTTTAAATTTGAGGAAGATAAGTAACCTGGGGCTGGGCACCTGGAGTCGTGAGGACTGGCTTTGAATGCTCCCACTGCTACCTGTCATTGTGACCTGGGCAAATCAATCCCCTTCCCACCCAGAGGCTCAATTCCCTCTTCTGTAAAATGGGGACAATCATGGCTACAGGGCTATGGAGAACTGTCAAGGCAGGAGAACCCTAAGATTTTCCATTTTCTGAGAAAAAAAATCTCAAGGCTCACCCTCCCTCTTGGGTTTGGGGCCCTGGAGCTGATCAGTCAGTACTAGAACAGGACAGGCCACAAGGGAGAATGGTTTTCTGCGTCTTTTTCAAAAAATGTAGCAGGGCAGAGACAGATATTGGGTGGCAGAACCAAGCTCTGCATAGTGATGCAGATTCAGAGAAATCTCTCCTGTGAGGCTCCATTTTTTTCATCTGTACAACTGAGTAGGTTGGACCATAGCCTCTCTTCAGGTCTCTTTCCTGTTCTGATGTTCATACCTGAAGATTCTTCCCAGCTTTGACTTTCTGCATTGGGAGGTTCTAACATTCATGTTGGAAGGACCTTCCCAGCTCTGACATTCTCTGCTCTAAGGTCCTCCTTAGGTCTAACATTCATTTTCTAAGCCCCACCCCCCCAACTCTGACATTCTGAGGTTCAGTAGCATTCTGTAATATAAGATCCTTCCCAGCTCTAACATCCTGTCTTCTAAAGAGCTCTTCCAGCTTTGATATTCCATGTTTTAAGGTTCCTCCCAGCTCTGCCATCTATGTTCCAAGGGCCCTCTCAGCTTCAAAATTCTAGATTCTAAGGACCTCCCAGCTCTAGCTTTCTAGGTTCTAAGGTACCTCCTAACTCTGACATTCTAGGTTCTAAGGTCCCTTCTATTTCTGAAATTATAGATTCTAAGGTCTCTTCCAACTTTGAAATTCCAGGGTCCAGATTCCCTTTGATATTCTGGGTTCTTAGGTCCATTCCTGTTATGACATCCTCAATTCTAAGATCCATCCCCTCTCTGGCATTAAGGTTCTTGGTCCCTACTCACTTTGACCTTTGTTCAAGAGGCTCCAATTGAACTCATTAAACACCTTTTCATATGAGGTTCCTTCTAGACTCCCTTTGGGGATGCCGTTTGGGGGTGAGCAGAGATTTGGGGACATGAGGCAGAGAGCACAGTAGAAAGGACAGAGTGTGCTGCTTTCTGCAATGTCACCACTGCAGCCCTTTTCTTCAGAATAGAGGGGAATCCCTACCAGGCTTGTCCTGCAAAGCCCTGGACCCAGGCCAGGCCCTTCAGATTTCTGTATTCTAATGGGAAAAGTCCTGGGATTGCAGCCAGGATACCACTCCAATGCTTACTAGTTTTGCGGTTTTCGGAAAGACATTTCATATTTCCATGCCTCAGTTTCCTCCTCTGTAAAATGGGGATGGTCACCTTCATACTGTCTCTGTCTTGGATTTGCCATGAGGGAAGGGCTTTGAGAATGGGACTATCATTTCACATCAGGATAAAGAAAAAGGGATTTCCCAGAACTAGGACTTTGGACATCCCTTAGAGACCCTCAGTCAAAGATGAGTCCTGGGGCAGGGGGAGATCACTGGGCAGGTAAAGCATCCCGAGGCACCTCCTCCCTGCCTTTGGACATATATTGACTTGGAGGCAACAGGCAGGTACCCAAGCCTATGGCCAGGTACGGGAGAGGCAGCCGTTCAAGAAGCACCATTTGAGAGACAATTTCCAAGGATGGTGTTGGGGTGAGAGGGAGGAGGCTGGTCTTTGTTGAAAGATTCTCTCAGTGCATTTCTTCAAAGTTCATCTTCCATTTGACTTGGGGCTTGGAGTGTCCCCATACCCCTCAGGCCAGAAGCATTCTGCACCTGGGAATACCCAAGCCAGTGACCGGTCTCACAGGGCTTAGGGGTAAGGAGATGCCACCCTTGGAAGAATCTGTCATCCCAGTCTTGCCTAAATGACCAGGCCCCTGTCTAACGCTCTATACACTACAAATTGGCGACCACAGATCAGTAGCACTAAATGCAAACAACAACAACAACAACAACAACACGACACAATAGGCCTTGGGAACAACCCAATCCAGGAAGCAGCAAGTCAGGAGTCCAACAAGCTGACATTTAGTACAGAGCGAAGACATCGCTACCCGTTAATGCTGTGAAATGGCGCTGATGCTGAAAACATAAATAATTCTGTAGACTGTTCAGTGTGAGTGCCAGTTTACTTTTTCCCTCACCTAAGACAGTGGCATTTTTTCATTTCAACTCATTTCCCTACAAGTGCTGGCTTGTTCTCTAGTCGGTGTCGGACCCCCCAGACACCTGAAGCAGTACCAAGCAGCACCCGCAGTCTGGCTGATTCTCTTTCACTCGCGACACTTTCTTCCCCTCTTCCTCTCTCTCTCTCTCTGTCTCTCTCTCTCTCTCTCTCTCTGTCTCTCTCTCTCTCTCTCTCTCTCTCTCTCTCTCTCTCTCTCTCTCTCTCTCTCTCGGAGGGGGAGTCAGGAGGTTTTGGGGAGTTGGGAAGGGGGTTCATTTCTATCTTTTCGGAGAAACAGGAAACAGGCGGGAAATGCGCTCTCTTCTCCAGACCGCTCTGGGAAGCTTTTCCCAAGCAGCTTCTCCAGTGGAGCTGGCTCAGCGCCAGAGGACCCCGCCCCCGCCCCCCCCATCACGGTCGGGGGCGCAGCGGAATGAAAGCTGGACTGCGAGGCTGCCGGGGGGGGGGACGGGACCGGAGCCCCAGTGGAGGCTGTGCCGCTCCCCTCCGGTCACAGATGCCAGCCAGCTGGGGAACCCCCGGCTTCTGGTCTTCTCAATCACGGGAAGGGGAGGGCCCGGAAGGGGCCCAACGTCCACGCCCCCCGAAGACTCGCTGTGCAAATTGCTGCTGCAGTGGGGTGGCTCGTCCTGGCTGTCGCGGCCGGGCGGAGGGGAGGCGCGCCTACTTGCAGGTGAACACCTCAGTCCGCTCGCTGCACGTGTTGCATTTGACGAAACAGCACCAGTGAAATTTGCAGTTGCACTGCCAGACCTTGGTGTACTGGTGCGTGTTGTAGCCCCGGCCGCAGCACATGGTGTCGCAGCCGTCGGCGCCGGGCGACGTGCGGTTACACAGTCGGCCCTGAGTGCCCACGCTGCCCGTGGCGGCGTCCTCCTCGCAGTAGTTGGGGGACTTCTCGATGTAGACCAGGTCCGTGTCCAGGGGCTTCTGGTAGCTGCGCAGCTGCTTGACCTTGAGGAAGGTGGGCTGGCGCAGCCGGCTGGCGCGCACCACCTCCACCTGCACGGCCGCGTTGTACTTCTCCTTGAGCAGGTGGCCGACCTCCCGGAACTTGGGCAGCGTGGTCCAGCACGTCTTGGTGGTGCACGAGCCCGACACCCCGTGGCATTTGCATTCGAGCTTCATCCTTTCCTCGAGCACCTGGAAAGGGACGAGACAAGGAGGAGAAGACCGGGCAGGAGGTTAGAAGTATGGTCACCTTTGGCAACGCGTTGGGCGAGAATCACGGCGCCCCAGAATCACCGAATGCCAACTGCCCTGGAAAGGGGGAGGACGGCAGGGAAATGGGCGCGGCTGGCTCTGCAGGCCAGGAACAGGGCCGAAAGCCCAGCGCCGTCATCAACTCACTACCTGGGCGACTTTCAACAGGGCACTCCCCCCTCTGGGCCTGTAAAATGGGAGTAGGGAAAGGGCTAATGACATTCTTTCTGGTCCTAGCCAGCGTTTGACACAATGAAATATGACAAACTTGGAAGATCTGGAAGAGACCTTCGGGCACAGATCACAGATCTCAGAGCCAAGACCTTCTGAACTGAGAATGGCTTCGACAAGGCACAGCCCATGGCAAAGACGCAGCTCGCAGCATCTCCGCCTGCTGAGTTTTGATAAATGTTCAGTGACTTAAGAACTCATGCACATACTCGAGTCTCCTGACTGCTGTCACGTGCTGGGATTATTTGTGGCAAAGAACAGCACTGTACCAGGGGCACACAAAGCTTGAGAAGTATTGGCATAAAATATAAACCATCAGAGCCAGGAGGGGCCTGAGAAGAGGGAATGTCAGAGCTGGGAGGGGCTTTGGAACAGAGAATGTTAAAGATGGAAAAGAACCTTAGAATACAGAATGAAAAGTATCGAAGAAATAGCCTGAGAACATAGAACATGGACAGTGAGCACCATCGGGATGCTGCTAATACAGAATGCAGATTGGCTCTGCTCTAGACACGATCATCCCAGAATGTGAAGCCTGAAAGGGGCCTGAGAGATTTGTCCAGTGGTTCTTCACCTTTGTATTTTAGAGTCTGAAGCCTGGGAACCCTCCTTAGAATCATGTTTTTAAATGCTAAGATAAAATACATAGGATTGCAAAGGAAACCAATTATATTGAAATGCAATTATCAAAATTCGTTGCAACAGCAAGGAGAAGCTCAGTGACCCAGGTGAAGAATTTCTGGGCACCCCTTCATTTTGTAGATGGGAAAACTGAGGCCCAGAGAAGGAACAGGCTGCCTCTTTTTTTTTTTTTGACCACGGAAGAACGTGGAGCTATTTGGTGTGTTGGGGCTGGAGATGGACACGAGCACCTGAGCTCTCCAGGAGGCTCCATCAGCCCATCCCTGGGCCTTGCTGGACGCCATGTTCCCCCATGTCTGGGTTTTCTTTGGATAGTAGCTGGGAAGGATCTCAAAGGAATCCAGCCACTTCACACATGAGGGAGCTGATGCCCAGGGAGGTCGTGACTTGCTCAGAGTCACGCAATTAGTAAATGCTGTTTAAAGTTTCCATCTCAAATACCGCATTTGTTGCTCAAAATAGCCCTAAATGTGAGGGATTCCTTTCTCCATTTTACAGATGACAAAACTAAGGCTTGGAGTCACAGTGATTGGGCGGTGGGTCTTGCGTGAATCAGAACAAAGGCTCCACAGCTTGGGAGACACTCCCGGACATGTGAATCCCTGCTCCTCTCCCACTACTGAAAGGCTCTGCTGACCCTCCGAGGTCAGGCCGCCCAATCAAGTTCATAGTTCAAGCCAGGATTCTCAGTGCCCACTGTCTCCCACTCCAGTCTGGGAGCCATTCCTCCCCCTTTCCCCTCCCCAGCTTTCAAAGAGGTCAGCGGGGCTAGATAATCCCCAAACAACAGATAATCCACAAATCATTTCTAGTTGGCTTAGGAGGGGTTGGTGTGCACATTCCAGCTTTGTCTTCGGCAGCTGACTCACCCTGCTGTCTGCATTCAGAGCCAGGTCAGCTTAAGTACAATGGAGTCGAATTCTCCCAGCTGAGTTGGCCCCAAAGGGGGCTGGCCCTGGGTTCAAGGGCCCAGCCAGAGGACACCCATTCTGGGAACAGAGGGAGGATGAGAATGGTTGGAGGTGAGCTGCAACAGGTGGTCTGGCCTAGTGACTGGACAACCAAGGAAACCATGGGGTCAAGCTCTGTCTCAGTCACATAGTGGCTGGGTGACCCTGGGCAAGTCACTGACTCTCTGAGAGCCCCTATACCTCTCCAAGCCTCTGAGTTGCAAGGCACAGACCAATCCGCATTGGAGTGTGGTGGAAGGGAATTGCCTGTGCAGATAAAATCCCAGGTCTGGATGGTGGCAGCAGCAGCACTGCTGGACAGTGGGAAGGGCTCCCAAAGGAACTGCCCCCTCATTTTACACACCAGGAAGTGGACAGAGGTTGAGTGTTTCCAGAATGTGTCCTTCATCACTCCACTGGAGCCCCTGAGCCCTTTTGAGGAAGAGAAGTTTCAAGGGTGATTATCCCCATCTTACAGATGAGAGAACTGAGGGACAGCAAAGGTCAATGACTTGCTGAGGTCCTGGAGATAGCATCAGAGACAGGATCAGAACCCAGGTCTTCTTGATTCCAGTCCCACAATCTAGTGACTGGGCCACTGGCCATGTATTCTACATGGAAGGGAATTTAGAATGGCCCTTGGAGAATGTCTGAACCAGAAAGGCCTTGAGAACATCAGAGCTGGGAAGGGCCTCAGAGGTCATCTAGTCAGATTGACTCATTTTATAGCTGAGGAAGCTGAAGTCCAGAGATTTGTCCAAGGTCACAAATGGAGTCATGGAGGAGTGCCACAGCTTGAACCCATGGGATCCCAGGAGGCTAAATCTAGAGCTAGAAGAGACTTTTGAAGCCATCTGGTTCAATCCCCTCATTTTACTGATGGGGAAACAGAGGCCCAGAGCTCTGTGTCTAAGGTCACACTGGTAGGGAGCAGCAGAGTCAGGATTGGAATTCAAGACTGGGACAGTCATGTCATCATGACAACCATCTTCATTACCATCACCTCCATCACTCTCACCACCATTGGCATCCTTCCTGTGGGCACCATTACCGTCATCATGTCAACTGTCTCCTGTTGCTGCTTCTCTGAGAGTGCTCTCTCCATCCTGTCCCTCTTTGTGATATTCTGGAATGAGCCTGGAGTTAGGAGGCCTGGTCAGCCCTGGCTCTGCCACCTATTGTCTGTGCTTAACCACTCTGTGCCTCAGTTTCCTCATGATGACATGGAGATAAGCATTACATTACTCCCTTCAAAGGACGGGTGGGGGAGAGCATCCTCAAACTTTATATAAATGTGAGCTGTTGTGAATGCACATCCTCACGGTCGCCAGCATCAGTAGCGTGTTCACCAGCCCCATCTCCTTCACCACCCTGCCCCCCGTTCTCAGCATCCTGTCAGTATCCTCAGCACTATCATATCGTCTTAGAACAGCCATCACCATCCTCCCCAGTGTCTCCATCACCATCTTTCCACTCATCTCTATGCCATTGTCCCTACCACCATCAATAACATTCTCCTCATCACCCTCACCACCACTGGCATCCTTCCTATGGGCACCATTAGTGTCATCGTGACAACTATCTTTACCACCATCACCTCCATCCCCATCATCATGATCACCACACCCTTGACATCTCAACTGGCTTTCTGATCTTCCTTTTGGGGCTCTCAGGATCTGGTGACTCAGACAAGGATGGCTGGCCACCTGACATCTTTCTCTTCCCCTTTCCAATCTCTATTCAATTCAGTCCAACAAGCATTATTAAGTGACCCTTGTGTGCTAGGTACCAGGCAGAGTACTGGATGTACAACAAGCCTGCCCCCCCATTAGCTTATGGTCATGATTTTAGAGGTAGCCCCTGGAGATAGCAGGGGAAGGCTAGAGTGTCTTGGGGTCTAAAACCTGAGTCCTCTTCCTGGCTTCTCCAGGGGCAATCACCCAAATCCTCTGAGTGCTCACTTGGAAAATGGAAATGCGAACATTCATTGGGGGTGGGAAGGCAGTGGAGGGGTGGTGCAGATATTGTGTGGCTCCAGAAACACCTGAAAGTGCTTTTTAAAGTCAAAAGCGGGAGCCGAGGCCAGGCTTACTTGTTTGAGGCAGTACAATGCAGTCGGGACTAGGGAAGGAGGGATTTGATCAGCATAGAGATGTCTCTGGCCCCTTTCAGTTCTAAAAGCCCAACCATCAGAGCCAGGTAATGAGCCCAGGCAACCGTGTAGGGAGAAAAACTAATCTCTTACAGTCACCTGAGTGTGGAAGCTCAGTCTTGTGTCAGACCAGGATTCAGACCCTGGGTCTGCCAACCAGTGCCTGGATGATCTCAGGCAACCCCCTCTCCTCTATCTATAAAACACGAAGGTGACCTTAGATACCTCTAAAGGGACTTCCAGCTGCCTCTCCCATAAGCCTGGGATTCTGGCTCTTCACAATTTCCCTTTATCGGGGGCTGAGAGGTCCAACATGACAGCTGGGCTTCCCCTCTTCCTCCATTCCCAGAGCCAGCCCTGACCCCCGAGGTATTCATTTACCAAAATCGAAGAGTTCCTGCCAAGCTCAATGCCTGATTAAAGATGGAAAATCATTAGCTCCTGACAAATTCCATTCATCCTCCACCAGGGCCTCTGGCTAACCTTGGACAGCCCAGGGCAGGTTCCACCTGGGGAGGGTCCCTCTTGCCTGTCTGCGTCTTCATTTGATATCCAGGGGCCATTGTATATTAGTCATGAAGAATCGGCCTTGAGGCTGGCCCCTGAGAAATGGAAGTGGGGGGACGGCCCCCTTGAAAGGTCCTTCTCTCCCCCTCTACAAGGGTGTCTGAGAAGAAAGAGGAACAGGAGAGTGTCCCTGAGGGCTCAGAGTTTTTCACAGCTCAAAGGGATGTTAATTATGCCAGTAATTTATGATTATAATGATAAACATCTGGAGAGGTCTGGCAGGTGGCCGGAGGGAGAGAGCACTCCCTAGCTCAGCTGATGAAGGTAGGCTGAGTCTGGCTATTTTTAAATGTTTGTCTCTGTAGCCCCAGAGGACCTCCGATACTTGGCACCTGCATGATCGTTAGCTTCGAGTCCTTGGGCCTCAGTTTCCCCCTTTGTAAAATGAGGGAGTTGGA